TTGGACGGAGAAGTGGTGCCTCCGGGCGCTCCCGGGATCCGAACCCGGGCCGCCAGCATCAGAGCGCGCGCACTTAACCACCAAGCCACAGAGCCGGCCCTCCTTTATCATTATATAATGACTTTCTTTGTCTCCTGTGACAGATTTTGAGTTAAAATCTGTTTTGTCTGGTATAACTACTTATATTCCATTTGCATGGAATAATTTTTTTGATTCTTTCAGTTTCAGCTTATTTGCACCCTTAGAACTAAAGTGGGTCTCTCTTGTAGGCAACATGTAATTGAGTCTTGTTTTGTTTATCTGTTCAGCCACTGTGTGTCTTTTGCTTGGAAAATTTTGTAAGGACTTGTCAATTGCCATCTTGTTAATGTTTTTCTGGCTCTTTTGTAGTCTCTTGTCCTCTCTTCCTTTGTGATATGATGACTTTCCATAGTGGTGTGCTTTGATTCTTTTCTCTTCATTGTAGGTTTTTGCTTTGTGGTTACCATGAGGTTTATATAGAACATCTTATAACAGTCTGTTTTAAGCTGATAGCAACTTAATGTCAATCGCTTAAAAAGTACCCTTTTAATATCCCACCCACCTGCACTTTATCTTTTTGATGTCTCAGTTTACAATTTTTATATTGTGTAGCCATTAAGAAACTATTGTGGCTATGGTTATTTTTAATACTCTTGTCTTTTATCCTTTATACCAGAGTTAGGTGATTTACACACCACCATATTACAATATTGCTGGGTTCTGAATTTGACTATATAACTGCCTTTACCAGTGTGCTTTGTATTTTCATATGTTTTTATGTTACTAATTAATGTCTTTTTATTATTATCATTATTATTTTTTGGTGAGAAAGATTGGCCATGAGCTAACATCTGTTGCCGATCTTCCTCTTTTTGCTGAGGAAGATTGGCCCTGTGCTAACATCTGTACCCGTCTTCCTCCATTTTGTATATGGGACGCCACCACAGCATGGCTTGATGAGTGGTGCGTAGGTCCACGCCCAGGGTCGGAACCTGCGAACTCCAGGCCACTGAAGTGGAGCACGCGAACTTAACCACTACATCACCAGGCTGGCCCCACTAATTAGTGTCTTTTCATTTCAGCCTGAAGAACTGACTTTGGCATTTCTAGTTAGGCAGGTTGAGTGGTGATGAACTCCCTCAGCTTTTGTCTGTCTAGGAATGTCTTCATCTTTCCTTCATTTTTGAAGGACAGCTTTGGTGGATAAAGCATTCTTGTTTGGCAGTTTTTTTCCTTCAGCATTTTAAATTTATCATTTTACTCCCTCCTGGTCAGCCCTGTTTCTGCTGAGAAATCCACTTATAGCCTCATGGGGGTTCACATGTATGAGTTTCTTTTCTCTTGCTGCTTTCAAAATTGTCTTTGTCTTTGATTTTTTCAAAGTTTTATTATAATGTGTCTCAGTGACGATCTCTTTGGATTGAATCTGTATGGTGACCTATGAGTATCATGTACCTGGATGTCCACATCCCTCTCCTGATTTGGGAAGTTTTCAGCAATTACTTATTTAAATAAGCTTTCTGCCCCTTTCTCCCTCACTTGTGCTTGTGGCACTCCCATAATGTGAATATTTTTTCCCTTGATGGCATCCCATAATTTACATAGTCTTTCTTCTCCTCTGACTGGGTGAGTTGAAATGACCTGATTCTAAGTAACACATTTTTAGTCTGCTTGTTTAAGTTGGCTATTGGTTATTGGTTCTCTCTATTGCATTTTTTATTTCATTCATTGTATTCTTCAGCTTCAGAATTTAAGTTTTTTTTCTTTCTATATCTAAACTTCTTGATTTGTTCTTGTATATTTTCCTGATTTCAGTGAGTTGTCTATCTGTGTTTTCTTGGATCTGGCTCAGCTTTCTTAAAACAATTATTTTGAATTCTTTGTCCAGCAGTTTGCAGATCTGTGTTTCTTTGGGTTCATTTGCTGGGAACTTGTGCTCCATTGGTGATGTCATGGTTCCTTGATTTTTCATGTTCCTTATGGACTCTTGGTGATGTCTCCACATTTGATGGGTCAGTCACCATTTCCAGCCTTTAGGGGCTGGTTGTGGTGGGGAAAGACCTTCACCTTGGGTTGCTTGTGAGGTCACCAGCTGGGTAGAATGTGGCGGTTTTGGCTCTGGGGAGGTACCAGCCATGTAATCACTGTGCCGCTTTGTCAGCGGAGGTCAGGGGTGACAAAGATTGTAGGCATTCTCAGTAGCCAGGGCCACAGGGTGAACTCACAGGTATCTGGACTGCCAAGGCTGGGGAGAGTGTGCCATCCCCAAATCTGTGTTCAGATCATAACTGAAACGTTTCCCATTTAAGCAATGTTTTGTTGTGATTGCAGTGCCACACTCCATTTCTACTTTTCCTTCCCCATGGTTGATACTTTGTCTTCTAGTCAGTTTTTCTACTTGTTCTTTCTACTCTGTCTTTCAGTTTAGGGAGAATCTCCACCTCTCTAGACTTCATATCTCACCCATTTCTCTCATAGCTCTTCCTCTATTGCTTTGCAACATTGGTCCACATGTGCCATGAAGTGTGCATACATCATTACATTGACCTTGAACAGCAGCTACTCTGTTGTAATTGTTTTTTCCTGGGTTTGGACACTTGCTTCTACACAGCCTCACGTCACCAGCAATAAAGGTCCTGTAGGAATCCTTTGGCAGAGGAACAAGTTTTAAAATATGCCTCTCTTCTTTATGTCACACCCTATCCTTGTGTCCATCCCTGGTGAGTTCTCCACCATTCTTTTTCCTTAGGGGTCCAGTAATGCCCCGTAGTCACTTTCCCAACCGGATTCCAACTCCTTTGTCCGGAAAAACATTCCATAGACTCCTTCCTAGATGTGGCAGATGCACATTTGTGATGGGGTTTCCCCTTCCCTCTAAAGTCAACATGTACTTCACCAGGGTTTCTTTGTGTTCAGGTTGCTGGAGTGGAGCAGAGGATGCAGAGGCTCCTTTTGAACACAGCATTACTGTACGTGTGTTACAGGCCAGGACTCCCAAGGCATCTTCAACTTCGCAGAAGACCCACCCCTGTGAGTCGTGTAGTCTGGTCTTTAGAGATATATTGCACTTGGCTGAGCACCAAGGAACACAACACTGCCAGAAAGTGTTCGGGTGTGGGGTGTGTACAAAACTATTTTATTTTAGTACAAACCTCCGAAAACACCAGAGGCAGCACATGAGAGATAAACCCTTTAGAAGCATTGTGGACAGGGCCTCCCTTGCAAAGAGCTGCAGATTCCACATGTCAGAGAACCCCTTTACCCCTGAGGAAGTTGAGAAAGACTTCTTGGACACCTCTAGACATCTCAAGGAACAGACCACTCACACCACGGAGAAGCCAAAGAAAATCACGCGGTGTGGTGACACTTTACAAAGCAGAAAAAGTCATTACATCTGGGCAGAATGCAAGAAACCCTTCAGCCCCAGACACACACTTTGTCAGGACCAGGGTGTCCACACAGGAAGACAGTGTTTTGTATGCCGTGAATGTGGGAAAACATTCAGGTGCAAATCCTCATTTGTTGTGCACGAGAGACTCCATGCTAGAAGAAGGCTTCACGTGTGTGGAGAATGTGGCAAGTCTTTTAGGCGAACCTCAACCCTTAGTCAGCACCGAAAAGTTCATTCTGGAGCAAGGCCGTGCAAGTGCAGCAAATGTGGACAATCCTTTAACCAAAAATCCATCCTCATTTATCCTTTGAGAAGTCACCTTGGAGAAAGTTGTTACTTGTGCAGTGAATGTGCACGGTCTTTTAGCTGTAGATCCACCCTTATTCGACAACGAACAGTTCACACTGGAGAAAGGCGTTATGAGTGCACTGAGTGTGGGAAATCTTTTAGAAGAAAATTCTATCTCATTGTACACTGGAGAGTTCACACTGGAGAAAGGCCTTATGAATGCAGTGAATGTGGGAAATCTTTTACCAACAGCTTGGTACTCATTCTCCACCGGAGAGTACATACAGGACAAAGGCCTTTTCAGTGCAGTAAATGTGGGAAATCTTTTAGCAATACCTCGATACTCATTCTACACCAGAGAGTACACACAGGAAAAAGGCCTTATGAGTGCAGTGAATGTTGGAAATCCTTTAGCCATCCATCTTACCTCACTCAACACCAGAGAGTTCATAGTGTAAAAAGATCTTATGTGTGTAATGAATGTGGGAAATCTTTTATCTCTCGCCCTGGCCTCCGTTATCATCAGAGAGTTCACAATGGATCTAGGCCTTATGAGTGTAGTGAATGTGGGAAATGTTTTACCTCTCGCCCTGGCCTCCGTTATCATCAGAGAGTTCATGCTGGGAAACGACCTTATGAATGTAGTGAATGTGGAAAATGTTTTATCTCTAGCTCCCAACTCCATTATCATCAGAGAGTTCATACTGGAGAAAGACCTTATCAGTGTAGTGAATGTGGTGAATGTTTCATCTCTAGCTCCAAACTCCATTATCATCAGATAGTTCATACTGGAGAAAGACCTTATCAGTGCAGTGAATGTGGAAAATCTTTTTCATCTGGTTCCAACCTCAGTAATCACCAGAGAGTTCACACAGGAGAAAGGCCTTATGAGTGCACTGAATGTGGGAAATTCTTTATCCAAAGATATCATCTTGTTATACACCAGAGAGTTCACACAGGAGAGAGACCTTATGAGTGCAGTGAATGTGGGAAATCTTTTTCATCTGGTTCCAATCTCAGTAATCACCAGAGAGTTCACACTGGAGAAAGGCCTTATGAGTGCAATGAATGTGGGAAATCCTTTATCCAAAGATATCACCTTCTTATACACCAGCGAGTTCACACAGGAGAAAGGCCTTATGAGTGCAGTGAATGTGGGAAATCTTTCACCACTAGGAGGACTCTCCGTTATCATCAGGAAGTTCACACTGGAGAAAGGCCTTATGAGTGCAGTGAATGTGGGAAATCTTTTACCTCTAGTTCCACTCTCCGTGATCATCAAAGAGTTCACACAAGCAAAAGGCCATATGTATGCACTGAATGTGGGAAGTCGTTTAGAGGAAATTCTTATCTCATTGAACACTGGCGAGTTCACACTGGAGAAAAGCCTTATACATGTAGCGTATGTGGGAAATCTTTTTCGTCTAGCTCTGGCCTTCGTTATCATCAGAGTGTTCACACCGGGTCAAGGCCTTATGAGTGTAGTGAATGTGGGAAATCTTTTCCCAAGAGCTCGGCACTCATTCAGCATCGGAGAGTTCACACAGGAGAAAGGCCTTATGAGTGTGGTGAATGTGGGAAATCTTTCAGGCAAATCTCTGCACTCCGTCAACATCAGAGAATTCACACTGGAGAAAGGCCTTATGAGTGCAGTAAATGTGGGAAATCTTTTACCCAAAGCTCTGCACTCCGTCAACACCAGAGACTTCACACTGGATCAAAGTCTTATGAGTGAAGCCCACGTGGGAAATTCTTTAGCTACAGGTCTGTGTTCCTTCAATATTAATAGTTCACATTGCATCAAGGTTTTATGAGTGTAGTGAATGTAGGAAATCCTTTACCCAAAGAATTGCCCTTATTGTACACCAGAGAGCTGGCAAAGGAGAAAGATCTTATGAGTGTGGTGAATGTGTGAAATCCTCTACCTCCGCCCTTCATTATCATCAGAAAGTTACAGAAGAGAAAGGCCTTATGGGTGCAGTGAATGTGAGAAGTCTTACCTCTGGTTCTACCCACCATTGTCAGCAGAGAGTTCATACAGGAGAAAACCGTTTTGAATACAGTGAATGTGGGAAATCCTTTAGGGATAGTTCCCAGTTGAGTCAACATCAGAGAGTTCACACTGGAGAAAAGCCTTACGAGTGTAGTCATTGTGGGAAATCTTTTACCTGTAGTTCCACTCTCCACTGTCTTCAGAGAGTTCACAAGAGAAAGGCCTTATCAGTCCAGGGAATGTGAGAATTCCTTTACCCAAAGGATTTACCTCATTACACATCATAGAGTTCACACTGAAGAAAGGCCTTAGAGGTACAAGGGAATGTGCAATTTCTTTGTTCAGTGTAACCACACTGGAAGAAACCTTGAAGAACCATCTATCTGAATTCGATCTTATACGTCCAGTTGTCCACAAAGGGGAGATTCCACATAAGTTCCAGTTATGTGGGAAGCATGTGTAGCTATGTTGCACTTTATAACTTGCTCAGGGCTCTTTCAAGATTTATGTCACTGCCATGTTCTTGTTGTGGAAGCCATTTCACCTTTGCCACCTGGCAGGTCTACACAGTGTGCATCAATCACCACCTCAATGTGCTCAGGGAAGCTGACCTCTGTTCTCTCAGGTATTGGAGTAAATTAGGAGTAGCCTGAGGTGTTAGGGGGTCCGTATTCCGTTCCAACTAGTTTGGGCAAGGACCTGACCCAATGTTGGTCCAGACAATATCATATGAGTTTGGCTGGCAACTTGCAGACAAGGACAACCGTTTTTCAGGGACATGTTGTTCTCACATGATGAATCGTTGCCACTTTCAAGTCGCTAATCCAAAGTGTGCTCACATTGCTTTGGTTTGTACAATACGAAAGCCTTGCTGTTTAAGTCTTCTTTCATTTAGGGTGTTCTGTTTACTGTGTGGGATGTTTTATAAACAGGTTTGGGCTCCACAAGTGTGAAGGGTGCACAATTTTTATTGGGGTCTCAAACTTTGTGTGCCTCAGAGTGTACAGTATAATGGCAAAAAAGAGCTCGCCAGTTTGGGCCAAATTTGCACTGCTGCCAACAACCTAGGAACCACTGTAGGGCTTTCTGGTCATCATTTGAAGCTTGGATGCTGTGAGTTTTAGGAGATTCAGGTCACCCTGAGGAGGAATCAGATGTGACAATCTCAAGTTGTTCTTGGAGCAGCATGAATGTTTTCCATTGTTCACAGGGGATGTCAGCACTGTTGATGGGAATTTCTTCCCTAGGTCCTGCAAAGAATCATGTGCCCTGATGTCCACAATTCCACGGGTGATGGTCAGTGGTTGCAACACCACTGGGGTCAGGGGAAACCATAACTGCTACTGAAAGTGCACTGTATTAGGGATTCGAGAAGACTGCAGCCAACTAGATGGAATGTGCCTCTTCTAGAAGTGCATCCAGAAATGTTTTTGTGACAGTGACTGTGTAGGATCAGTTTTTACACAAATCTCAGGGCCTCAGGTTTGTTTATCTTGTGTAGCTGAAGTCATTGTCAGAGAAAATAATCAAAAGATCTTGGGGATTCCTGTAGTGTAGTCTCTCAGTGATGTTCACCTCAAGGCTATTGCTGCACGGGGAGGAAAACAAAGAGAAAAGTAGTCCAGGGATGTGACTCTTGTGACCTAGCCAGCATTCCTCTTGACTCCAATGGAAATATCCTTTGTTAGTAGCCAGTATTTGCTGCCACTGAGGCAAGACTGACTCCCAGAGAGCATGAGGAGATAGATGGTGGAGTGAATATAGGGTTGCCAAACCTATGTTCCAAAAAAATGACCAATAAAGACTTTTTTATCTTGAGCCATTTTTAAAGCTTTATTAAGGTATAGTTTACATGTAATAAACTGCATGTATTTAAAGTGTAGTATTTGATAAGTTTTGACATACGTAAGAACCTATGAAAACATCATCACAGTCCTGGTAGTGAAGATATCTGTCACTGTGTAATTTGCCTTATGTCCTTCTATGGTCTCTTTCCCTGCCTGTCACCGCCCTCCAAATAACCATTGATTTACTTTCTCTTACTACAGATACCTTTGCATTTTCTAGAATGTATATGATTGGAGTCATTAAATGTTTAATTTTTTTTTCTGGTTTCCTTCATGTTGCATAATTACTTTGAGATTCATCAATAATATAAGAAGGTCAACTTGCTTTTTGTTTTTTTGCTACCTTTGGATATACCACTGTTAGTTTATCCATTCATCTCTTTATGGACATTTGAATTATTACCAGTGTTTTGACTGTTGTAAATAAAGCTTGTACAAACGTGTACAGTT